GCCCACATAAAAAGCATGGTTGAAAATTTTCTGGTTTCAAAAGCACTGAATCAAGCTCCAGTTTGTTATGGCATCTGAATGTGTATACCTGGACTTGTTTCTATGGAAACAGACTCCATTGCCTTCATTTAGAAGTCATGGCAGATGTTTAATTCAAGGCTTCTGACACCAGGAACCCCTCAGCTACACACAACGGTTGGGAGGAAGAGAGCTCATGAGCATGTTGATAAGCCATGATCATGTCCATCACAAACACAGGTTTGTGACATCTGACAGCCATATTGAGTGTTAAATCCCAACGCGATGACATCACACAGAAGTGACATCATCACGTTAGGAGCTCAGCCCCATGGAAGGTGCCATCAGCGCTGTATTGCAAGAACCATTTAAAGTGAACCTTTGCAAGTGGGTGTGCCAGCACCCCACACACCTGAATTCCAAACGGCAAATTTGTCACTTGAAATTCAGTCACATGTAGCCCCCACTTGCAAAAGGCATTTAAAGGGACCCTTTAAATGAATTCACCGCTTGGAGTTCAGGCATGTGGCCGGCGGCTGCTAACAACACAGGCTTCCTCATAAGCGCAGTTTCCTTCGCCTACTGTTTCTGCCTCTTTAAACATCGAGGCTGTGCTGTGCCTCTGCTTTGGGGCAGTTCCACCAGGCCTGTCCCAGTTTGGTGGATTTATCTTGCCGCAGGCCCCAGCTCCTACTTTAGGGTCCTCTTTCTCCCTTCTTTGCATCCTCTCAGTCTTGCTCAGCCAGCTTGCATTTCTCACCTTCCTTGTCCCTTCTGACATTTCCTTTTTTATCCCTGGGGCTCTGCCCATACTGGTAAACCCAGCATCACCCCTCCCTTCTCATCGCCTTGTAATGCTCTCTTAACTCCTTTCTTGCCTTGCTCCACTCTGTCTGGGTTTGCATAGGGCTGCTACTGTCTTCTTGCGAGGTGTCCTGCCCTATCCTGGAGCAGCTGCTGCCTTTTGCCCAGTAAGTGAAGTGTCCTCTGGCCTCTGCTGCTGTCTTTGTGCCACACTTGGATTAGCATGTTGTGACGAACTGCACTTTTTAAGATGCTTAAAAATGTTGTACGTACAACTGTAGGACTGTGAAGGGTTAATTCTCCACAAAGCCAGAGAGCCTTGAGTAACAGGTTGCTCCAGGCAATCTGATTCTTCAGCATCAGCTGAGCAGAAAAAGTCTTGTGAAAGCTGTATGCTGAGGAGATTGAATCAGATTCCTGCTTTAACAGAAGAGAGCTGTACGAAGACTATCTTGAGACTAGCCCTGACAGAAAAACTGTGGAGTTACAATCCTGGACTTAGGCCATTAGTAACGGATTGAACACTGTGGTTTTAATGTTGAATGTTTTATTATGTTTTTATATGTTTTATCTTGGCATGGCTGTTGTCCTGCCCTTGTTAGCTGCCCTGAGCCCACCGGGAGGGTGGGATATAAATGTGGAAAAATAAAATAAAAATTATTTTTTTAAAAAAAAGTTTAGTGCTGACAAAGATTTCAGCCGTGACTGAATACAGTCTGAATTCAGCATTAGCTGAGAGCAGTTTGAACACAGACAGAGAACTAGGGGGAAGTCTGGCAAAACAGCTCGGGTAGTAGAATAAAACTCCCATTTAGGCCAAAGAGATAGATCTTCTAGAGAGAGAAGGAGAATCCTTACCAAGTCAGACAGAAAGAGTTATCACTGAAGAGTACAGAGATACCTGGTCTGGTGTGATTAAGAAACTAAAAGACCTAAAAGTCTGTTAACAACTCAGGAAGTGTACTGATGTTCCAAGAGAAGGGGTTTGCGTACTGGGAAGAGGGTACCAGCCTTCTGGACACTAAAATAGTCAGCGATTATATAAATAAAGTATATTAGAATGTTTGGGAAAACACTGGAACAAAAGCCTCTCAATATAAAGATGCAAGTAACTGAATAGTTTAAGAACCTCTCATTGCCACCCAAGATTGGGAATCTCTTGCTACCATCCTGGAGTCCAAGGATGTGAAGGCCTTTTGGAGGTTTGTCAGACCAGGACGTCAGGCTGACATCGTGGCGACAATCTCCCCAGCCAGATGGAGGGTGCATTTTACAGCTTTGTATCAATCCTCAGAAGGGCCTGTCGAGAATCAGTACTACAACGTCTCAATCGGATGAAGCATGGCAAAGCAGTGGGCCCGGATTTTATACCTTTAGAACTATTTCTGGTGAACCCCGAATGGTGGGCGCTTCGCTTGGCCCATCTGTTTTCAGACATCAACCAATCAGCTAATATCCCCGGTATTTGGAAGACAGCTACTGTGGTACCTATCCATAAAGGTGGGGATGCCAACGACCCGGGTAATTATAGACCGATCAGCCTTATTGCCATCCCTGGGAAGATTTACTCTGCACTCCTCCAGGAGAGACTCCAGAACTGGCTCGATGAAGAGAGGTTCCTTTTCCCTGAACAGTGTGGCTTCCGACAGGGTGTTGCAACTACAGACCATTGTCTGACGCTTCTCCATCTCGCTGGCAAGTATTCCTTGCGCCCAAGAGGTTGTCTCTACGCGGCCTTTATGGATTTGAGGGCGGCCTTCGACTCTATCTCTCGTCGTAGATTGTGGGGAAAGTTATTGAACACCAATATTGACCGCAGACTTCTGGGATTGATTATGGCTCTTTATTCTAATACATCTGCCTCGGTCCGGGTGAATTCTTCAGGAATCAGGACAGACTCCTTTCCAGTGCAAAAGGGAGTTAGACAGGGATGTTTGTTGGCCCCCTCCCTGTTCAACATCTACATTAATGATTTGGTGCCGTTTCTTAAAAGAAGAGCCAAACATTCCCCGTATCCAGCCGGTCTTCCTATACCACTTCTACTTTATGCTGACGATGCTGTTTTATTGGCA